GAAAATAATTGTAAACTGTGTAAAATGTGCATGTTTCTACAATGTTTGGGTGGAGATAAGCAAAAAAGATACTTCGGCTTTAAAGAGAAAATTCTGAACTTGGATACAAGGTAAGTAGAGCTGTCATTTCTAACACGGGCCAGCAAACGGCCCGACTTTTTGGCTCGGGCCGGGCCAAAATAATGTGCTGGATGGGCGGGCCGGGTTGTTGTTGGGCTTTTGATTGCGTGAGTGGATGTGCGGGGCTGGCGGTCCAGTTTGGCTCAACACCAGCCACTCGCAGCTGTTTGACAGTGTGCTGACCGGCCGGTTGAAAGAGGTACAAGAAAGTCCAGATGGATGACTGCCAGCGACCCACCTGTGGCTTAACTGGACCCAGCCGCACGCAGCCAACGTCTGTTAATAACTATAATATTATAATAATAATTAACAATAATAACAGCAGCAGTCCCTCATTTATCGCAGGGGATATGTACCCTGAAGACCCGTGATAAGTGAAAAACCACAAAGTAGGAATAGTAGTACAAGTAGTAAGAAGTAGTTTATTTTATTATAAATATATATATATATATATATATATATATATATATATATATACACACACACACACACACACACATTAAGGTGTTTTAAACCCTTCCCACACTCTTGCAATATTCTAAACAATGTTTCTAAAATCTAAATGCTCTAAAAGACACAGAATGTCATGATTTCAGCTCTCTGCCACCTGCAAGCATTCTTGGCCACGCCCACTTCTCCCCTCTGCACGGAGAACAGCTGATCAGCTGCAGCAGGAAGTTTCTCCTGCAGTGTGGGCTGCACAAAAGCTGCAGCAGGTGCTCAATAATTTAAAATAATTTATTTTAAATAAAAATTCCATGTCGATCGTGCAGCTCATCCATCAATCAGCCAATTGTGTGTCATGTTTAATCTTATTTTGAAAAACCGTGACACAGCAAGTCCGCGATAAACGAACCGTGACGTAGCGAGGGACTACTGTGTAATAATCCACTGACTTGTTAATAAACAAGAAATCTTATATGTTCCTATCTTTGAAATATGATTTTAAATCATGTCAAACTGATCCAAACTGTTTTGAAATCATGTCCTGAGATCCATCATCAAACGCAGTAAAACTTAATGAATTTGTTTATTCGGGTTCGGGTCTGTAATCACAGTTACTTGGTCGGCTTCGGGTCGGGCTCGGAAAACGTTATACGGGTTCAATCTGCACTTTGGAGAAAGAGCAAACCAAGTTGTTTACAGTGCCTTGAAAATGCAGGTATACCTCTAAACTTTTCTACATTTCGTCATGTTATGACCCCAACTTTTAAAAGTATTTTACTGGAAACTAGTTTAACAGACCAACACAAAGTAGTGCATAACTGTAAAATCTAAGGAAAATGATCAATATTTTAAATTTTCTTGTAACAAGATTTTAAAAGTTGAGGCAAGCGTTTGTATTTGGCCCCTGAGTCAATACTTTAAGGAACCTTTTCATGCATTTCCAGATAGAAGTTTTTGGAGTTGGTGTCTACCAGCTTTAGACGTGGACATTTTTACCAGTTCTTCTTTGCTGAACAGCTCAAGCTCAGACGGACTGAAAGCAGAGTGAGACACAACTGTGAACAGCAGTTTACAAGATTTGCCACAGTTTCTTTAGGTCTGGACTTTGACCGGGCCACTCTAACACAGAAATATACTTTGATTTTCATAAAGCCAATTTAGCTCTGACTGGATGTTTCAGGTCGTGGTCCAGCTGGAAAGAGTACGGTACAACTGTAAAATGTACCAAGCCCTCCACCTAAAGTGACAGGCCAGGCAGTAGAGTATTCCACGTCACATCAGTGGAGGTGCTGCACAGATTCACAGCTCAGGTGAGTTACAACAGTCCAGTCAAAGCTCAGCAGACATTCCTCTGAAGACTTGCAGCTGAAATTGCAGTGAAAGGTGGTTCTACAAAATACTTACTCAGGGAATCTGAGTATAAAGTCACACCACACTTTTCTAGTTTTCTTTTGGAAATAAAAAGCTCGAGAACATTTATCATTTTCCTTGCACTTCACAAACACGACCACGTGTTGGTCTACCACGTGAAATACGTTGAACTTTGCCGTCATAATGTGACAAACCTCGGAACATTTAAAGGAGCATGAATAATTTTTCAAGGCACCCAAATTCAATAATTCGATTCACATGAATAGAAATCTACAACTTGCATGACAAAGGCATTTAAGGACCTGAGTTGGTGATCGCTGCTGTTTACAAGTGAAACATGGTTTAATGTGGGTGCATACAGAAGACACTTTCACTAAACACCTTCAGTCTGGGTCTCAGACACCTTCTTGGTGTCTCATTGTGACTTATGAAAGGAACAAGGCAACATGGCGGACTGAAATCAACCTGTTGTCGTTGCATCTCTGAATCACCAAGAAATGATAAGTAACAAGGGTAAGCAAACTTCATGGCTTGATAGTGTGTGTACAATGATGAGAAACGGTGTGTGCAACTCGTCAGTGGATTAGAATGAAAGACGTGACACAAAGTTTATGTGTAGTGCTCTCCATGCCAACACGACCGAGTTACGCTCTACTCTTTTATTTTTGCAACGCTGACTTCGTTAATGAAAACTCGCATGGTCACAGGAAGTGGTAGGTTTGACTTGGGATTTATGAATAGCCAGAGGCAGAAAAAAAGAAGGTTCATATTTAGTCTTCTGTGGAACTGTTTTACAAAAAAGACCAGAGTTTAAATTAAGGATTTCTGTTAAGTGGTAAATGCTGGCAGGATGATGATACACTTGGATTTATGGTGCCATCTAATAATCTGGTTTTAGAAGCAACACTAACGAAGTGCTGTGCAGTGGGCTGAAATCAGCCACCTGCCAGGGCTAATTGCTCTCTTATTCAGCACAGGGGCCCTTTGCTTCTGGCTGGATGCGAAGAACAGGGAATGGAATGCAAACTGTTAAAAGTCAGCACTAAATGTCTCAGGCATAAATAAAAGGAGGTCAACACATTGTGTGCACTTTATTCAGCCCTGCGAGGTCGTGAGTTCAAGAACTCCCAATAAAAATTCCAAAACCAATAATGAATTGAACCCATCCAACCAGGAGAGTGCATGCAGCTCAAGCAGGATACAGCTCATTTGCCTGATGTCCAAAAAGCTTTAACGAGACTCTGAAGTGTAAATCTTTGCAAACCGAGTAAACACCATAGTGCAGAGTGGACAACCTTCTTTAGTTTCTGCTGTTCACAGACCACGGCAGACCCAGACGTGTGGAAAACTCATGCAATTATCAAAAGGATTTTCATTCTTACAGCGGAAAAAAATATACTTTGTATTTTCAAAATTACCATATTTTCCAGCGTATAAGTTGCAGTTTTTTTTGCATAGATATGTCAGTCTTGTACGCCGAAGTAACTTATATATTTTATCCATATTCATAACGCAATTTTTGACTGACGCTTTAACTTTCGAAGAACTGCAAGAGCGAGTCCTCCCGTGCCTGCTCGCTTCACTCAACTGGTGCAGGCGGAGGAACGCTGGAGAGCTCGAGGCTCCAGCCATGATGGATGGGTGGATGGATGGGTGGATGGCACCACGGCAAAATGAAGCTGTTTTGACCATTAAATAAATGCATAATAAACGCGACAGGTCAGCGGTGACGCATAATTCATTCAACCTTTATTTAATAAATGCAGCTCATATGCCGAAGTGACTTATTTATGTTTTTTTCCTCTTCATGATGCTTTTACTGACTGCTGCGACTTATACGCCGGAAAATACGGTAAGTTTCTCCCAAGTGGTGCAAACAGACCAACCGTCACAACAAAATAAAGGAGTTAGTCATAAATTTTAGGAAAAAGTACTGGTAAGTCTTTAGCTAGATCTACAGTTGGTTGCAATTAAAACATTTACCGTATTTTTCGGCCTAGAAGTTGCAGTTGTTTGCATAATTTACATGCCCTGCGACTTATACACCGAAGCGACTTATTTATGTTTTTTCCCATATTTATCAACCAATTGTTGGATGAGACATGACCGTTTTCATTCATTCTGACATTGAAAATATTGAACACTAACATTTTCAGCCACTAGATGGCACCGTAAGTATGGCATGCCGTTGTTTCATGTAATAGGTAAAAGTATTTTGACCAATGAAGTGCATTTATTAAGTAAAAGTTCAACTGACACACCTTTACTGTAATTTTGAGCGAACAAATAATTATTTTAGGTGGTTAACTTTTTAAATATCGAAGAAATGCGCAGCGTTCCTTCTTCCTGATTTCCTTCCTCTGCGCGCTCCCGGAGCACCGAGGCAGCGAATACTTTTGAAATGCAGCTGATTTGACCGTTAAAGTCCTTTCATTAAGGAAAAGTTAGACTGAGACACACCTTTACTATAATTTTGAGCAAACAAATAATTGTTTTTAAGTGTTAATCTTGTTAAATTCTTGTTAAAGTCCTCCCGTGCACGCTCCTGCGGCCACCATTTGGCAGCCAATCGATTTTTGGCACAACACCGGCCCACATTTCCAGGTTGTCAGCGGTGACACGTTACAAACGCGACGCGTCAGAGGTGACGTATAATAGATGCAACGTATACGGCAAAGCAACGTATTTATGGATTTTTCCACATAATTTGACAAATATGGACTGATGTGACTTATATGGCGGTGTGACGTGCACGGCGGAAAATACGGTAGCTGTAAACCCACTGATAAAAATAGCACAATTTCAACTTCTTTCAATGGCCTGTCAAAGACAAAATGAGCTGAAAGTGACTCTTAGACTGGAAAAAGGTACTGTAAAAGTACAGTAAAAAAACAACAACAAAAAGACTAAACTCCTTTTGCTAAGTTCTTGTAAATTCTATAAAGGACCAAAATATAATATCATAACTGAAAGAAAAAACTGATTAGGTGAAATGTCTGCAGAGTCTAATGAATCCCAACAATAGAAACCCACTCCAGCTACAGTGCATGCTGCTCATTTACCTGGGCAATGTTCTTGTTTAGCAAGTAGACACCGTATTCAAAATGGAAGCGCTCTCCTCTTGAATACAAAGGTAATCTGGAAAAGATAGAAGGCAGAGAAAATATGCAATGTTACACAGGAGTCGTCTTCTCTGAATAAAACGTCAGCATTTATGGCTCATCATCAACACAACATCAAATGTGAGAATGTCTTTTGAGTCGTGCTGTTCCGTTTCTCAAGTAACATTTCACAGACGTGGACTCAGTGCCAAGACAAACTGAAGCTGTTCTGGCAACATGACGTGTCTCCGGGAAGTACTAAAACTCATCATGTTGGAGATACCTTTCATTTGTCACTCAGCCGTACTGTTCAAATTAAACATACAGCTTTACCTTGATCAAACTTGAATTGATGCATGTTCCTTATTCAGAGATTGCTACAATTCAAAAGTTCCCCTCTTCTGTGGAATGCAACATTAAAACTGTTTATTTCTTTGAGTTTGGAGGACAATCGTGTTTGTGCTCATGTGGGTATTTTGCACAAATATCTAAAGAACCACTAGACAATTTTTTAAGGAAAATTGTACAAACTCCTCCACAACTGATTAACTTTTGGAGCCAACTTAATTCAACCAACTACAGCTCATTGTTCATAATAAATAAATAAAGTGCTATGTGTTGTCACCATTGTATGTTTCCATACAATGGTGAAATGGTTCTCTGTGTTTAACCCATCACACCTGGGATACACCCAGAGGAGGAGTGGGCAGCTATGCAAGCACCCGGGGAGCAACTGGGGAGTAGGTGTCTTGTTCAGAGACACCACAACATGTGGAAATGGCTGGGAATCGAACCGGAGACTTTTGGGTCCTGGGTCGGCTGCCCTACATCTACCCCAGCTTAATCTTTACTTGGAGTTAGCCATGTTTGTTGTAAGCAAAATATCTCCAGACCTACTGAATGAATTAAATAAAAGTCTCAGAAAAATCAGTGGCAGCAATAGCTAATCAAAAACAGCCAGCACAAAAATACCTTTAATTCAGTCAACGGGTGGGTGGATGGATGGATGGATGGATGGATGGATGGATGGATGGATGGATGGATGGATGGATGGATGGATGGATGGATGGATGGATGGATGGATGCATGGATGAGTTCCAAAGTGAAAAAATCTTGATATGCCATTGTTGAGTTTCCATGTGGATAATCTAAACGATCTTTTCAAAACAATGATGTCATAGCCCCACCTCTCACCTAACTTATGAAGCCAAGCATGACAGATGCAACAACATATAATCACATAAGTTGCATTTGTGTTGCAAACGCTAGTTGCTCAACTAAAGCAAAACCTTTGTACACTGTATTAGTTCAATAAACGGACAAGGCTCATGAATAATAACATTGCCTTGAACAGAGCAGAGCAAATTCCCTTATTACACAAAATAATCGTAGTCTCAAAACTGTGGATCACTTTATCCATTTGTCAGCAATGCTAAAGCAAACAGCAGAAAATGGGCAACAATATGACTCAAGTATCCATAAGGTCAGTATCCACATCAGGTCTCTCTTGTAAATGAGTCCTCGAGGCTCAATGGGATTTACCTGTCTAAATAAAGGTTGAATGAAAAAGAGTATAGATTTTAAAAGGTTGAAATGAAAATAGTTTTCAAAGACCATCATTTACACAGATTTTCATGCCTTAAATATAAAATTAACAAAACCACTGGGATGTTTAGGGCTTTGGAAATATTTGCATCCATCCCCTGAATTGTACTTTTCAATAATCTTTTATCCGAGTTGAATTAGGACAGTCTACTTAAAGAGTGTGAATATTTTTACTACCACTTTTTCCTTCTTCTATCTTCTTCCTCCTCCTCCTCATCTTTCTTCCTCCTCCCTTCCTTCTTTCTTTCCTCCTCTTCAGGGGTCACCACAGCGAGTCATCCTGCTCCATCTCCGTCCTCTGCATCCTCTGTCCTCACTCCAACTACCTCCATGTCCTCTGCATGCGTTCCTCCTCTCCCTCTGTCTCCGGACATGTTTCCCTCCTCGTGGTCTTCGACTAACAGTATCACAATTTCCTCTGGCACCCTATTTGTCAACAACACCGGTGGTGGTCGTTGTCAATGATCCGGTATGGTTGCGCTTACATTAACTCGTATTATAGTTTTGGCAAATATGTTTTACATCAGATGCCCTTCCTGACACAACCCTCACCATTTACCAGAGCTTGGGACCAGTACAACAGATACACTGGCTTGTGCTCCCTAGTGGCTGGTTTCTGCCATCACTTATTACATATTTTTATTTAGCATTAATTTGTAAAAATTAAAAATTCACTGTCATCGAAATGTTTTTTTAATTAACTAGTCAAAAACTACAAATTTATATTGATCATGACTAATTTCTAATGTTAATAAAAGCATGAACCATTCAAGGGAGTAATGCTTTTTATAGGCACTGCACATCATATGCGTAACCTCTACACATTCACACTGTCATCAATGACGTTGGCTAACAAAAAATTAAAGAAAGAATAATTGATCTAATAAAAATGTTTACATTTTTTTGCTATACAGTTATAAACATTACTACAATTTTTTTGTTATTTGATATATTTTTGAAGTTATGTATGCATCAACCCTAGTATCAGTTCATGTACTCAACAATGTTTGTAATCAGAGAGATTTGTGAATCCCTCAGGAAGTTGGGTCTATGATCAATTTCAGTTCAGTTTATTTATATAGTGCCAAGTCACAGCAGAAGTTGTCTCAGGACACTGAACAGAAACATTCATATACAGTACATGCACAAGAAAATTAGTAAAAGTTCTCAATCTAAGGAAGGAAACCAGCAGACTCGTTGAATCTTCACTTCATCACTGTCTACCATCCTGAACGAGCACAAAGGCAACAGTGGAAAGGAAAAACTCCCTTCAACAGAAAGAAACCTCCAGCAGAACCAGGCTCAGGATCATCTGCTTCGATCGGCTGGGCTTGAGAGGACAGGAAGGAGAGACAAACGCAGAATGCCTTTGTCCGTGCCTTTATCACGACCCAACTGGACTACTGTAACGCACTCTATGTTGGGGTCAGCCACGTCTCCACTTCGCGTCTCCAGCTCATCCAGAATGCTGTTGCTCAGCTTTTAACTGGAACTCATAGGTTTGAGCATATTACACCAGTTTTGTTCACTGGCTCCCTGTGCGTACCAGTATTGATTTTAAAATTCTTCTGCTAACTTTTAAGTGCATAAATGGCCTTGCACCCCCTCATCTCTCTGAGCTACTGGAACCATGCGTTCCCTCTTGGATGCAGAGATCATCTGATCATCTGCTTTTGGCTGTTCCAAAAACACGACTGAAGCTCAGAGGTGATCGGGCTTTTTCAGTCAAGGGCCCCAAACTTTGGAACAATCTGCCCCCCAACATCAGGCAGCCCACTTCACTTCTTGTTGTTAATTCTCTGCTAAAAACATCTCTTTTCTCTGGCATGTCACACAGAGCAAGTTGAGTTAGTATTGTTTGTTCTGTTTTTTTTCCTTTAATGCTTTTAATAAATTTTTCACTACTATCATTTTTCTTTTTCCATTAATTTACACTTATTGATGCTATTGTTAAGCACTTTGGTAACATCTGCTGTTTTAAATCCCATACCATTTTATTTATAGAGCACTTAAAACAGCTACAAGGCCAACCAAAGTGCTTTATAGATAAAGTTGACTTGACAGAATGGTAGGGCCAGATGTTGGTGCAGGTGTATCCCCTATTGATCCAGTCCTGCAGTTGCCCCCTAAGTACTATATTTAACAGAAATATCTAACAGAATGGGAGGAGTCTAAACCACATATTCTTCTACCTCAGAACAGGAAAAATACAACTTTTTACTTTTAAAATGCTTGGGAAAGTCCCAACAGTGCCAGCCAGATGTCTTGGTTAGTGCAGCGCACAGAATACTAATGAAAGATGGGGAAGATTGCCCAAGGTGAACACAGACTAATGGCCAAACAAAGATTGGATACACTCATTCCTTTCTGTCATTATGTGGTTATACCTGCTGATCTCCCACTATGGGAGCTAAAGTATATTTAGAAGGCAACTCCATGGACTAAGACCGCCTCACGCTGGATGACAACCCCAGTATTTGCAAAGTCTTGGCAACATTTGAGGTGTATATTAAGAAAGCAGTGAGTTCCTCATTCTTCCTGGAGAGCGATAAGTGCACACCAGATTTGAGCATGCACAAAACTTTATTAGCTAAGTTGTGGTGGTTTATTATAATGGTTGCAGTGAATCAGGTGTTTGTCGGAGTGTTGTGGAGCAAGTTAGCAGCATACCCATGACATGGGGCCAACACACACTGACATGGTTTGACCAACAAAAATTTGAAGATGGCTGACCTTTATGCCTAGGCTGAAACTCCATCAAACCTAAACATGGCACTAGCATCATCCTAGTCTATCAATACTCTTGCTGAAGATAGGAAAACTGATATTTAGTCGGTACTAAAGCATCCAAAGTCATTGCCTTGCCACTTGAAGGAGGGTTATCACATTTTAATGGGTTGTGTAGTTCACTGAGAGGGTAGTGTGGTCATCATTAACTGTGAAAATAAGAGCTGTGGAGATTGCCTTATTTATTCATATTCAAGGATGCACATGTGCACAATGTGATGTCATCTTTAGAGGAGCTGTTACTGATGAGGTTTTGGGATTAATTCTGGATCTATCAGTCCAATACATCACTGTATCAAAAAAATCTGAACCATTTATGGGGCTGAGACGGGGTAGAGGCAGGGCAGCCGACTTGGGACCAGAAAGTCTCAATTTGACTCCCAGTCATTCCCACATGTCGTGGTGTCTTTGAGCTACACACCTAATCCCTAACTGCTCCCCGGGCTCTTACATAACCACCTACTGCTCCATCTGGGTGTATCTCACGTGTGATGGGTTAAATGTAGAGAGCTATTTTTGCCATCGTCTTAATGATTAAATGAAAAGTCTGTAAACAAGTTTTCTTGACAGATATCAATAATGTTTAACAAATGTTGCTTTGCTTGTGTAAAAAGAACATATTCCATCATGAAGAACTCCTCTTGT